AAAGGGGAGATTTTAGTTGTATCTACGCTTAATAGGAGCCAATAGTATAGCACAGCTTCCAAAAAGAGATACTATACTCTTGAGTGCCATGTACTGAAAAATATTACAGTTCTCCTGTGTTTTGTATTGGTCAGTTAACACGTGGACTGCTGTATATTTTTGTGGATACTACATTAAAAAAGGGACATTGACAATATCGTGCATATCTAACAAAGAGACTAATATTGTTAGAGGACTTAAACTTGGAGACAGATTTCAACTCCCTGTAAAAATTGTTCTCTATTCATTAATACTTCATTCAATCAATATAATTAAACATTGCTGTGTTAGATCCTTTAAGCAGAAATAAGCAACAAGACGATGCTGCTTTCAAGGAGCTTTTATTCTAATAAGGAGGAGACAAATACTAAATAAACTAAGAATTCCCAACATTGATAAGTATTGTGGAGAAAATGAAACAGGGTAATATGACAGTGACTGGTGATTGATTAGCAGTATTAGCAATCAGGGAAGTTCTCTCTGAGGCAATGACATTTGACTTGAGACTTGAATGATGACAAGGAGCCCTAAGCATGCAAGGATATGGGAAGTGTTTCAAGCAAAGGGACTAGAAAATGGAAAGGCACTGAGCAGAAGTAGCCTGAGAGTGATAAGTGAAAGGGAGAGTGGTGGGAAATTAGGCAGGGTAATGAGTTTGAGTTTGTTCTAAGTGTAATGAGAAGCTAGTAGAGGGTTTTAAGTCAGATATGATCTGATTTACCTTTTAAAAAGATCACTGTGTCTGCTAAGTGGACAGTAAGTTGTGGGGGCAAGACTGGATATAGGGAAACTCTGGAGCTGTGAACAGTTTAAATAAGTATAAACATGATACCATTTTCTTTTTCTCAATTATTGTTTCTCACTTACTATATTTACATTTTTCTTTGTCCTCCCTTGAGAATGTTTTGAGAAGATTCCATCATATTCTCATAGTTTTCTATTATTAAAAATCTAGTTCAGCCTAAAAACTTGTATCTCTAACTTCCTTTTAATTTTAAATCTCTGACCTACATTTCTGGACAAGATGGAATAACAGACCAGATTTACCCTCTTACCTGAAACAGCTAGGAAAAAAAACCTGACAAAATATGTGGAACAGTGGTTTTTTTAGACATCGGATATTAGGCAATGAAGGACTATGATCCCTGAGAGATGGAAAACAATGAGGAGAGCCCTGCAATTGCTCCAGCTTACTGCTTTGAGTTTTCTGTCCATGGCACAGGTAGGGAGAAAGTAGGTTGAGCCCAGGGAACTTCTTGAGTTGAAGAGGAGCAGAGAGTCTGGGGAGACCAAAGTTGCTAGAGTTTTTAGGACTGAGTACCACAGAGGAGACTGCTGTACAGAGAGGAAAGTCCAAAGATCTGCAGAGGGTCTCTCTTGAGTATTCTGGAGAGTAGACTGATCAGTGCGTGTGTGTGAAGAAACTGCTTGAGGCCAGGGGAAGAACCACCTGAAAGGATTAGAGGAAATAACCCCTAGAGCTCGCTCACACAGGGCTGGGAGTAGTGTCTATTCCCACCAGCCACACTGGAAATCCTCATAAGTCATGGGGCATTAAGCAGTATACTCAGAAGTGACTTTCCTCAGTAGTACACAAGAGTACTGTTTTGCCTGGTTAAGTCTTAGATACCCACTAGACAGACAAGTTGTGATGTCAACTAGAAAGTTAGACATAGAAGTTTGGGTCTCAGTGTGTAAGCCAAGGCTACAGTTACACATTTGAGAGTTCTTAACATGTTTCATATTCAAAGCTATGGGATTTGATAAAATTACTAGGGAGAAGATGAGAGGAAAGAGAAGACTGAGAATCAAGTCTTGGTACCCTGAATATTCAAAGGAAAATTTAGCAAGAGACCAAGAAAGAGTCGCTAGTGAGATAGGAGGAAAACAAGGAGAGTGTATTCTCTAGGTCCCAAAACAATGAAGTGTTTGTCATGCTTTGAGTATCCCAAAATAAACTATCTCTAGAAGGAGTGAAGCATCAACCTATTTCAAATGGTTTTCAAACAAATGCTGAACTCAGGCTGTCTGTTGTACAGGAAGTCGAAACAGCTTGAGTGGGAGTGAGGAAGGTGAGACCAAATTATCTTTAAGATCTCTTTCGTCCAGATGACTCTATCATTGAACCTCTTATTACATGAACCTCAAATATGAATGTAGAAAAATAAGCCTTTGTTTAAAGGAGAATTTAGAAACGTGACTAATGTCAAGCAGGTAACTAGCTGCCATGTAAAGGGTTCTGCTATTCACATTTTACCTTTTCTTTTTTTTAAGTGGGAAGAACATAAATAAACTAGAGAAGAAATGGTTTAAAAATTAAACCCATACCATTGTATGTATGTACATGGTTAATGATAAAAAGAATATGAAACAGGTGAGAATGGTTGCACAACTTGAAAAATGTAATCAATGTCACTAAATTACATATGTAGAAACAGTTGAATTGGTGTATGTTTTGCTGTTTATACTCTCAACAATAACAACAAAATAAATAAAATTTAGAAAAAAAAAGAATATGAAATAATTCATCTATAGCACCAAACTATAAAAATGGAAAGCTCAGCCAAGTTGTTTTCGGTGTAAGCCTATTGTTAAAAAGATTACCTTTATTGACACTGCTAGTTATTTCCCCCCACATGCTTCTAGTCTACCAGTTTTCAAACTTTAGTGTATCAGAACCAACTGAGATGCTTTTAGAAATGCAGATTCCAAGGCCCTGTCCTACAGATTCTGATTGGGTGCAGTATGCCAAGTGATTCTGGGGCAGATGATCTTGTTAAATCCCTGGACCTCACTTGGCAAAACGTTGGTTCTGACTCTATACTGCAGGCATAAGCAACTGCTGGTGGTGAAAGAGCCAATTGAATTTCCACATCTTATTAAAATAATTTGTTTTGGATACATAATTTGCATAGTAGAAATAAAAAACTGCAAGGTTGAAAGAACAGAAACACCGACTACAGAGCACTTCTTTAGGTTAAAAGAAAAAATTACCTTCGAGTTGATTCTGACTCATGGTGACCCCATGTGTTAGAGAGTAGAACTGCTCCATAGAGTTTTCTTGACTATAATCTTTATGGAAGCAGATTGCCAGACCAACTCTTCTGTTAGTAGACTAGTGCAAAACATTTGTGTCACCCAGAGACCTTTTTCTTTAGTTTAGTAATTATTAATTAAATAATCTATGCTTTTTTAAAAAAGAAACTTCTTGGGAAGCTTTAATTTGCCATCAGGGATTTGTCCAACTTGCTTTAGGGAAGCAGTTTGGTCTTGAGTTTATTTTTAAGGAAATAACAATTTAAAAAAAGAAAAAAACAGCAATTTCTAATTACTTTGGTTTTTTTCTTTTTTAAGTAATAGAATAAATCAGTTATTTAGAAACTACAGTTAGGGGTGAGGAGCTTTTGCAGTGGTTGAGATTAGTTTCAACATCCTGACCACAAACTAAAATAATGTGCTTTCAGATCTGTCTCTTTCTAATAAATATAATTGTCCATGTGAATCCAGTTTATTTTCCTTAAACCTAAGTACAGTCTAAGTCCTATTGATAGTAGAAAAAAAATGAGAGTGATGTCTGACAGTATAGTATTATTGTTTGTTCTAATGCCTGGCACTTTGTTCTTGTTAGGTATTGAATACATATTTATTGAATCAGCGTTATTGAAATTATGTGCTAGCCTTTAATATTTCTTTCATTCTGCCATTTTCTACTTCTAGTTTATGAAATCAGCTTGCCTGCTTACGATCCTGAAGTATTTCTTTAGTATCTCTTTTTAAAATTTTAGGAGATCCTTCAAAAATTAGTGACCTGAGAACCAAAAGTACATAGGTTGGATACTGTTGCATTTAAATATAACCAACATAGTCTTGGAACCAACCTACCTAAGAGACAGGAAATTCTAGCATGTTGGGGAGGGGATGCGGGATGCTCTGTCTAAACACTCAGATTAAAAAAAATTGATACTAATATAAATGAAAAAAAATTGCAAGAAATATGCAATGCAACATAAAAAAAATCGGTTTTATGTTGAGGCATTTGAAATGAAAATCGTCTCATGAGTTTACATTTCTGAACAGTTTTAATGGAGTGGCAAACACAAAGTCTGCCTTAATTAAGGTTGCCATCAGATTAAAAGGTGGCAACTGATACATTTAGTATGCACCAGTTTCTAATTCCAATTCCATGTTGTTGTCAGATGCCGTCGAGTTGGTTCCGACTCATAGCGACCCGTGTACAAGAGAACAAAACACTGCCTGATCCTGCGCCATTCTTGCAACCCTTATGCTTGAGCCCATTTGTTGCAGCTACTGTGTCAGTCCATCTTGTTGAGGGTCTTCCTCTTTTTCACTGACCTTCTACTTTACCAAGCATGATGTCCTTCTCCAGGGACTGATTCCTCCTGGCAACAAGTCCAAAGTATGTGAGATGAAGTTGTCATTTCCATGTTGAGCTTATATAATAAAATAATTGAAGTAATCAGAATATTAGAATACATACACACACATACACATATATATATATACACCTTCATTCATCTATCAGCTTGGTTAATTGAGGAATAGTAGAAAAAAATGACATAAGATACAATGAAGACTTTAAAGGATTTTAATTCATTCTTCATCTTTCCCTCCCCTTCATTTATTGTTCCAGGCACAACAAGCCTCAGACATTTGGTTTGAAGACAGATACAAATCTATCTTGGTAATAAAGTTGAAAATCCCTGTTTAAACATTCTTAATGAACTCCTGCCTTGAAATTATTATTTGTCGTCTGCTTTAAGTATATAGAGTAAATGCAAAATAAAGAAAGATTGCATCAAAGCATAGGTTATTGGGGTTGCTTTAGAAGAGAATACTTAAATGTAAGCAGTACATGTCTTTCCAAAGCAGCATTTAAATTTCAGACTTCAACCGCAGTTGTGACTGTTTTTAGTTTGTTAGTTGCCTGGAGCGTTATTTTAAGAAAGCAGAAGCGCCATCATTTGCACACTCATTATAGATCACACACCTTAACCCTGACCTTTTAGCTCCAGTTTTTCAAAAGAAGTGAAGGCAAAATGAAGAAACATTTGCTTTTCTGGGGCGTCCTGGCCATTTTTGTTCAAGCTGTTCTTGTGACAGGTATGTGGTATTTAGAAAATGAGCCTAGAAAAAAGGAAAAATATAGTGCAGATCTGTTCTTCAGATTTAAGCATTTATCTTTGTGCTTTGTTTGACCAGCTAGTCACTTTTTTCTAACATGTCTTAATCTTTATATGGGCAGTTATCTTTACACAAACATGACTCAATGTGATTCTTTTTTATTCCTTTTTTCTCTTATTTATTTGCCTACTCCATCCTGGAGTATAAGGAAATAGATATTTCCTGATAACTATAGATAGACATATTTATAAGTCTCTATATTGAGTCTTGAAAATCAGTAATTCTCCCCTTGGGTCTCTTAAATTAATACTCTGGAGAAATGAATAATTACAGTAGATATGATATATAATGCATTGAGATTTTATTTCCCCAGAGAGACTAACATTAACAATTTTCCTGGATCTGAGCCCACAGATTTATTATGTCCCTTTAAAATTGTTTAATGTTAAACAGGTTGTCTATAACTTGATGGCTGAATTTTGCTTATTTTGTGTATAAAACTTTCAAACAACTGTAGAAAATGGTATATACATCCTGAATATAGAAGTACAGTATTAAATCATTTTTATTTAGAAGGGCACATAAATTAGAGGAGGTATAATGTGGCTGGATTAATCATTTCTAATACTTGCTGGGTTTATTGTTCTTATTTAAATACAGAGCATGATAGAAATTAATTAAGAATAGTTATACATATATATATTTATATTAACTTAGCGTTAAGAGTCATAACTTTTTAATAAGATTAAAAAATTAGCAGTAAAACATCTATATATACATACATAAACATATTTATCATAAGCCTGTTTATATAAACATATTTGTTAGAAAAAATATATATAACTACATATAAGCTAGCATTTATTGAATACGTATTATGTTCTAGGCACTGTGCTAACTGCTGTACATATACTATTCCATTTAATTCTCACAGTAGCTTGTGAGGATAGGTACTGTTACTATCTCCAGTGTATAGCTGAGCCAGTTAAGAGACTTCCTGACTTATCAAAGGTCACATAGCAAGGAATTGATAGGTAGAACCAAAGCAACCTGAGTCTATAGCTCGTATTCCTAACCACTATCCTATTCTGCGTGCATAAGGGAATCATTTTCCAATAAATTCATTTTGGTCATATCTAGCATGTGTTAAGTCTATTTTCTTATTTGTTTGACCTGAATTAAGTATTTATTGAGCACCTACTATGTCTCACGTTCTGTGGGAATAAAGTAAGGCACAGTCAACAGTAATAGGTTTATTAGGAAAAATATTGGCCCATTTGTGAGGGAGAATGTCAGAGTCCCATAAATCCTGGTGAATTGAAAGCAGTTGTACATTTCCTAGTAGATATATTAGGCTGCCTAATTTTATATAATAACAGTAAAGATAGTTTCTCCTTTGGGTCCTGGTAAGGAAATAAATTATATGTCATAATAAACATATAGACATTTTCTGTTTAAGACTTTATAGTCAAGTCACTTACTCAACTATTAATCTAAGACTTTGGTTAGGCATTGTATGTTCACTTGTATTTTATTGAGAAAAATAAGAGGGATATTTAAGATATTTAAAATATTTAAGAGGATACAGGAGTAAGGAAGATGGCACATTCAAGTCATCTTACTGCTTTCAGAACATATTAATAATAAGAGTTATATCATTATCTTGAATTGACTTTATAATGTTTCTTCTCCAATACTATAAGGACTTTCATCAGAAGATTTATTAAGAACTTATGAATAATGGCATAATGATGCATTATAAAGTACTTCAAACAATTATAAGTACAATAACAGTGGTTTTAAAATGTCTTTGTAATGGCTGTTATCATTAAGACTGAAATACTGCAACTAGGTACTCTCTACTTTGGGAATCTTCTCAGGAATAATTGGACTTCCAGTTACAAACGATTTTTCCTATCCTGACTATTTAATCTTTATAATTTGAGTGCATGTACTAAATCTTTATTTTATTAGTTGAGGCTTGATGAGAGAAATTTTTAAAGGTTATAAGAGGTTATATAAAATTTTAAAATTTTAAAATTATAAGAGCAGATAAAGATATTTAACGTCATTATAGTTGTTTAATTAGTACTATTAAACTAAAGCTATTATTAGCTCTTCAAACATCTGAAGACTAACTGATCTAAGTCAGATAATAAGAAATTTTGTTTGTTTATTCTTTGTCTAATATTCAAATTTGACAAAAAGATTAGACACTCAAAGTTTTAATGCTCATCTATATACCATTCACTTATTCATTTTTTTTGTATAGGGACAGAGTTTGTTCCTCACAATATTTTCTAAATTTGCTTTTGCAAATTTACAATACTTTACATCTATATATACTCCATCTTTTAAAATAATCCTCATCATAAGAATTATTAATAAATATAGCACTTATGTTTTATTTGATTGAATCATTATACCATGATAACCTGATTGGTATTATGAAAAAGAGAAATATAATTCAATTTAGGAAAATTGTGTTGGCAACTGTTTAAGTTTTATAAAATAAGGTTATCTTGAGGAAAAACATGTTTGTTCTTAGCTCTAATACAATTTAAGAAAAACAATTATAAATGGGAGTTAAAGAAGGATGTGATGTTTGGAACTGGGTTATAAAGGTTAAAACTGTTTTTGTTTACTTGTTAATAAATTTGGTTTGGTATGGGAGAAATCCAATGTTGATTTCTGTTTTCTCTCTCACTTTGGCATTTGGAAGTGATTTTTCCAAGGCTACATTAATCAGAAGCTATGCCTCAGAAACAATAGGTAAAAACCAGAATTCACCCAGCCTAGGTGTCCATAGACTATATCAAGGGGTGGGGGGAGAGAAAAAAAAGAAAATTCCTTGTAGAGTACATTTGGATTTCTTTCACTATGATATAAGATTCCAGTTTATTTATTATTGTGGTGAAATATGTATAACAAGACATTTCCCACTGTAACCATTTTAATGTGTACAATTCAGTGACATTATTGTTATTCCCCATGTTGTGCAACCATCACCAGTATCTGTTTCCAAATTTTCCATCACCCTTAAACTCAGCGCCCCTGAAGAAATACCTCCACACTTCCCCCTCCTGCCCGCATGCTTGCACCTTGTATTCACTGATGAACTTTTGGTCTCTACGCATTTGAATGTCCACTTGTAGCTATTTTAGGTTAGGAAAGAGAACATAAAAAGAAAGCTGAGACTGACCAACCTTATAACTTTCTTTTCTGAAGGCAAGAAAGATAAATTAATACAGAGTATATAAATAAAGTTTTGTTTCCCTTTCTTCTTAATATGTTTTATCTTTCAAGCCCAAGATGAAGATGAAAAGACCGTTCTTGTTGACAACAAGTGTAAGTGTGTCCGGATCAGTTCCAGAATCATCCCTTCTAAAGAAGATCCTAGCCAGGATATTGTGGAAAGAAACATCCGAATTATGTATGTGGCATTCCATAGTTCCTTTTTTCCATGGTGTAAGCAGGGATACTTTCTGATATTAAGCACTGAACATAATACCTATATCTCTCCTATCATTACGGGGTGTTGCACCTTACATGAGGTTGAATCAGGTTAATGGACAGAAGACAACTTTACAGAAGTTAGGGAGAGGTCAGGAACAAAGGTTTCAAGACCAGGGGCTCCCAGGCAATCTCAAACCAGTCAGCCAGAACAAACTATAACTGAAAGTTCTTATCTAGTCATCAGCATGTCCTATTTATATGAAGTTATTTCAGTTTGAGTCAGAACTTTCAGTTGCCCTTGATCAGGTCAAACTGAAACTTCAGATAACTCTAAAAGCATTATTTTATACCATATATGGGCTACTGCTTATTCTACAGTGTACTCAAATGTCTGCATAAAGATAAGGTAGACTTATCATATTGACTAATTTGATTCAGTCTTTACTTTTAGATTGAACTTCACATGTTCATTTCATTCACACATAGACCAGAATTATATGCTGTATGATTCTTATTCAATGTTAGTAATATTTGAGAAATTAAATTCCTGTTGTATCTAGTCAGTAATGTCTTCTTTATGAACTACTCCTACCATGAATAGTTTTCCTTCAGTCAAGTACTTCTAATAGAACCTAGCATTCAATCCCCTTCAGTCAGTAGGAGAAGTATGAGTTTAAGAATCTTCTTTCAAGTCCTGGCTGGGTCACTTTTTAAAAAAATTATTATGTTTTTATTGTGCTTTATGTGAAAGTTTACAGTTCAAGTCAGTTTCTCACAAAAATTTAAACACACATTGCTATGTGACCCTAATTACTCTCCTGACACTGTGACAGAGCACTCTCTGCCTTGTCATCTCGCCTCTGGACAGGAGCTGCCTGTTTAGTCTCATGTATCTACTTGAGCTAAGAAGCACACTCCTCACGAGTATCACTTTATGTCCCATAGTCCAGTCTAATCTTTGTCTGAAGCATTGGTTTCGGGAATGGTTTCAGCTCTGGGCCAGCAGAGAGTCCGGGGGCCCTGTCTTCCGGGGTCCCTCCAGTCTCAGTCAAACCATTAAGTCTGGTCTTTTTACTATAATTTGAGTTCTGCACCCCACTTTTCTCCTGCTCCATCAGGGACTCTCTGTTGTGTTCCCTGTTAAAGCGGTCATTGGTGGTAGCCGGGCACCATCTAGTTCTGGTCTCAGGCTGATGGAGTCTCTGGTTTATGTGGCCCTTTCTGTTTCTTGGGCTAATATTTTCCTTGTGTCTTTGGTGTTTTTCATTCTCCTTTACTCCAGGTGGGTTGGGACCAACTGATGCATCTTAGATGGCTGCTCACTAGCTTTTAAGACCCCAGACGCCACTCACCAAAGTGGGATGCAGAACATTTTCTTAATGAACTTTGTTATGCCAATTGACCTAGATCTGGCTGGGTCACATAATAGCTGTATGATCTTGTATACAAGTTACTTATCCATTCTAAACTTCAGCTTTCTCATCTCCAAACAGGGGAAAGATGGTGTCTACCTCAGAGAGTTATTGTAAATATAAATTGATAATATCTATTCCTTTGAGAGCTTGGCAAGTTCTTGGCACATAGTCAACAAAATATTGACTATTATCTATTCACCTAACCTGTGTGCCTCTGTAGCCTATCATTATATCACTGCCCTGCTTAAAACTGCTTTGATGGTATTCCCAACATTATTCTTAGGATAAATTACAAATGCCTCAACGTAACCTACAAAGCTCAGCATAATGTTCGAGCTCATCCACTGCCGCTTTTCTTTCACTTCATGTTTGAAGATCCAGCAGTATTGTACCTTTATCCCCTCAAACTCACAGTACTCTCCTCCTCTTCTCTTTTTACACACACTGGTCCTTCTGCTTGAAGTACTCTTCCTCTCACCCATCTTAGCCTGGTTAACTCCTGCTCAACCTACATGTTCTAGTTTAAACATCACTTCTGCTAGCAGATTTTCTTTGACTACTCAGCCTCTCTCCACAACAACTTCCTGTTGTTGTTGGCTGTCACTGAGTTGGCCCCTGACTCATGGAGACCCCATGCACAACTACTTTTGCACCATCCCCATGATTGGTTGGGGATCAGACTGTTGTGATGCATAGGGTTTTCATCGGCTGATGTTCAGAAGTAGATCTCTAGGCCTTTCTTCCTAGTCAGTCTCAGTGTTAGCCTGGTAGCTCTGCAGAAACCTGTTTAGCATCATAGCAAGATACAAACCTCCACTGAGGGATTGGTGGTGGCTTCACATGAAGTGCATTGACCAGGAATTGAACCTAGTTCTCCTGCATGGAAGCTGAGAATTCTACCACTTGACCAACACTGCCCTTACTTCTCTGTTAGAGATAGAATAATTTGAAAAGCATGCAACTTGAAGGGTTGGCATCCATGACATCACCACCGAAACCATGCTGAAGAGGAGTGTCTGTCTTCATGTTTAAATCCCCAAAGGCAAAATTTTCAAATGACCCTCCAAAATTCTCCAGTTCATCCTTTTCTTCTATGACATGATAATTTTTTTGATATATTGTTTACTGAAATCAGATAATTCATCCTTCATGTCACTTTACCTGAGGTATATTGATGTTTCCTTGATCTAATTTCTAAAAGTTCTGTTGGCATTGAAGTTAACATCTGCTGCTGTGTCATTATGGCATCATTCCTGACTCCATCACTCAACATAACTCCTAGGGTAAAATAGTGTATACTATATCTGAGACCAGAAGAACTAGATAGTGCCTGGCTACCACCAGTGACCGTCCTGACAGGGAAAACAACAGAGAGTCTCTGACGGAGCAGTAGAAAAGTGGGGTGCAGAACTCAAATTCTAATAAAAAGACCAGACTTAATGGTTTGACTGAGACTGGAGGGACCCCGGAAGACATGGCCCCCAGACTCTCTGTTGGCCCAGAGCTGAAACCATTCCTGAGGCCAACTCTTCAGACAAAGATTAGACTGGACTATAAGACTTAAATGATACTCATGAAGAGTGTGTTTCTTAGCTCAAGTAGATACATGAGACTAAATAGGCAGCTCCCGTCCGGATACGAGATGAGACGGCAGAAAGGGGCAGGAGCTGGTTGAATGGACATGGGAAATCTGGGATGGAAAGGAGGAGTGTACTGTCACAGTATAGAGAGAGCAACCAGGGTCACATAACAATGTGTGTATAAATTCTAGGATCAGAAACTAATTGTAAACTTTCACTTAAAGTGCAATTTAAAAAAAAGAGGAAAAAAATTATTATGTGAATATACACATACATACACTTTATAGATTGTGAGGATTAAATACAAAAATGTATTAAAGCATCTAGAACAGTGTTTGGCCCACAGTAAACCAAAAAAACCAAAGCTGTTGCCGTGGAGTCGATTCTGACTCATAGCTACACTATAGGACAGAGTAGAACTGCCCCATAGGGTTTCCAAGGTTGTAATCTTTATGGAAGCAGACTGCCACATTTTTCTCTCTGTGGAGCAGCTGGTGGGTTCGAACCGCTGACCTTTTGGTTAGCAGCTGGGCACTTAACCACTGTGTCGCCAGGGCTTCTTCTTGGCTCACAGTAGGCACATATAAATATTTATTCCCTTATCTTTCTCATTATTTAAAACCTTTCTGGTATAATTAGAGCCTTTACAATCTAATAAGGAATAGATTCATTCATTCATTCAGCAAATATTTATTGAGGGCTAATGAATGCCAAATACTGAGGGTTAGAGTTGGGGACACAGTAATTTATATAAAACACAGCCCGTGTCCTCAAAGAGTTTGCACTCTAGTAGGGAACTTTAAACAAATAAAAAGGCAATTACAATACAGTACTGTAAATGCTATGACACGTATAAAAACCAGACCTCTTGCTGTCAAGTTCCTTCTGACTCATAGTGACCCCACAGGACGAGTAGAACTGCCCCATAGGACTTCCAGGGAGCAGCTGGTGGATTTGAACTGCTGATCTTTTGATTAGCAGCCAAGCTCTTAACCACTGTGCCATCAGGGCTCCATGACAGGAGTAGGCACAGGATATTATAGGAGCACTGTGGAAGGGTACTCAATCCAATCCCTGGTGGAGTGGCAATGGGAAGCAAGAAAGGTGTTTGGAGTAAATGATGGACATGAAGGATGATGGCTGTTTCTGGGTGAATGGGAGTTAACTGCATAAATAGCATGACAAGTGATAGGGTTGATAGGTGGGGCAAGTCATTCCAAGGAAAGGAAACAGGCTTGTTGTGAAAATTATATAAGATCATTGTGTAACATGCTGTACATAGTACCACACACATAGTAGGTACTGAATAAATGTTAGAACTGTTATTATTTTTGTTATTTTTAAGACTTGGAGATGAAACAACAGTTAAGTGTGTGGAGTGGCGAAAAGTTGTTTACAGATGGCATGTAGTGTGAAGAGGATAGTATGGTGAGAGATGAGGCTGGAGAAGTGCCTTCTCTGACATGTTGAGGACAACTTGTTATCTGTGCGGAGACACTGTAGGTTTTAAGCAGAGGAGGAAATTAGGTTTGTATTTTAGAAAGGCTATTTTGACTACAAATGTGACTAATGCGTTGAAAGGGTCAGAGGGGGGATTCAGGGATGATATCCAGGTTTTGGCTGGATGCCTATGTGGATGATGTTGCTATATTAGAAAACACACTTTTTGTTTGTTTCTTTTGATAGGGAGGGGTACATATGGGGAGAAATGATATCATAAAGGAAAGCACTTAAAAGTCAATGAGATCACCTGAATTGGTTGATAAGCATCATCTAATTTTTCATGGGATATTACCAAATCAGGAGATCTGGATTCTAGTTCTAGCATTGCTGCTTATTAGTTGTATGAACTTGGATAGGTCGCCTAGCCTCTTTGATTTCTAATTCCGGCATCCCTACAATAATACGTCTGTCCGTTCATTCAACAAATATTGAACATATGACCCATGTCACACATCCAGCTAGGCGCTGAAAATATGTCAATGAAAAGATTTTTTTTGCCTCAAGGAATGTACACTCTAGAGAAACAATCATTCTATGGACAAGAAATTATGACATGGCATTTACTGTAATAAAGATATCTAAGCTTCAGTGAGTCTACAGAGGAAGGAGTTTATTGGTGAGGTCAGGGTAATTACAGAAGACATATTAACTTGACCCGATTCTTAAAGGAAAAGTAGGGATTGTCCAAGTAAGCAGATAGTTGACAGAGAAGTTGCTGTGAGGCTTATTTTGAATGGCAAATGTTTAAAATGTGGTAAATTACCATGAAAATCTGAGTAATAGTATTACTGTAGACTGTTTATAGGGTGCTAATGTAATGGTGAGTACTGTTTTAATGAAATATTAAGTTCGGTTCGAGTGATATAGCTATTACCAAAACTATTAATGTCTGCTAGTTTAATTATTTTGCTTTCTTTTCTTTCTTTCTTTTTTAGTGTTCCTCTGAACAACAGGGAGAATATCTCTGATCCTACCTCACCACTGAGAACCGAATTTGTGTACCATTTGTCTGATGTGTAAGAAATTTTCCTTCATAGTAATATAGACATGGAAGTTAATAACTTTTGATTAACCTTGTTAGTAAGAGTGTTTTTGACAATATATTGATGTATCAACATTGCAAATATAATTGGAACTTTTGAATAATTCATTCCTGTTTCAATTATTAGGTATTATAAATTCATAAATTTTTATCATAGATTTATTCTAAAGGAGAAATTGTCATTAGTACAGAAAGGGCCAAGTCATCTTACATGTTCAATAAGTGAATTTCAGACATATGAACATGAAGATGTTTCTTTGGCAACTATACAAGCCAGCATCCAACAGTTTTTTTTTTAATTATGCCTTCCTTGTCACTATAAATTTAAACTATGTATGCAGTTGTGAATAAACCTAACACAATAGAAGTTGCTATATGTATAGACAGATTAGTATCATAATACTAATTATATCACTTACCCTTTGGCTAAATATTATATATTAAAGGTTGAAAAATCTTATAAATGATTCTGTATTGTCGAGCTGCTGAGGTCTGAAAGGAGTCAGCTTTTGCCAGTTGTCAGGTCAGAGATGGAAGAACTAATTGATTTTAGATAGAAATGTGTAGTCACTCAGATTTTGAGACAGCATTGGATAGGGAGTGTCTAATGCAGGTATTTGTTTTTCAGCTGTAAAAAATGTGATCCTGTAGAAGTGGAGCTGGACAATCAGGTGGTTACTGCCTCCCAGAGCAATCTCTGTAATGAGGACAGTGAGACCTGCTATACTTACGACAGAAACAAGTGCTACACTAATACGGTTCCACTGACGTATCGTGGTGAGATCAAAATGGTGACAACGGCCCTGACGCCGGACTCCTGCTATCCTGACTGATTTACACCATTGCTGACTGCACAGCTCCTTAAGTTGAAAGGCTCTCCATTTCAATCCAGAAAGCTAAAACATTTACTACCAAGGAAATTAAAATCATTTTTTTGGATAATGTAAAACTACCTTTTCCCCAAAAGTAATTGACATAGTAACATTATTCTTACATTTATTGGTTAATTCCTTCTTAATAATATGTTCACACTAAGTGTTTAAATTTCTCACTTATCAAGCGTGCCTGAAAGGTTACACCTCCTTAAGAATGTAATTTCTACCATTTAAAAAAATAGACAAAGGGAGAAAATAAAACTCAAAGAGTGAAAATAAGGAGACATAATTAAATTTTGCCTTGTTTTTTGGCTTTGACTTGGAGAGCCACTGCTTTCACACATTCTTTTCTCTTTAAGAAAAGTATTACTGAGTAGAGAAAATTTATGTATAAACATAGGTTAATCTGTGTCTTCATTAGAAAGATAATTGGAGAACATATTTGGAACTATTTATAAAAATAATTTAAAATGTGAGCTCTAATATTTATGAAACCGATTAGCAGAAATTGACATCTTTAAATGCATAATTGAAAAATATATTTTGATATAACATAGACTTGGCAGCAGATGATACAGATTTTTCTTTTTTTGGTAAAAATTTCATTTTGATAATCAGGCTAGTATAAGAAAAACCACCTATGTTGTAACAATCTAATCTGTATTCCAAAATATGCATTCTCTAGCACAGTTTGATCAATTAAATAGATTCACAAGCATATACCTGTGTGAAATAGTTTATTGGAAAAAAATTTGTCTGTGTTAACTTTCTCATATGTAAGTTAAAATATAATTTATTATTGGTGAACAGTTTGAAGTATGTATAAGTACATATTTGAGGTGGATTTGTCATTTTAGACCTAACATTAAATAAAAAGGCAAGGTGCTTCCTGATAAACATAGCATTCATCATGGCAGGTAAAGTTTCTTCATGGCAGGAATCAAGACGAATTTATGTAAGTGTCTATGGAAAGTAAATGCTGACTCCGGATTGAAAGAAGAGAGTAAAAGTTAGTTTCTTGAGGCATTGTTCTGTTTATTTATTTATTTTTTTAAATCGCGACAGTCATTTTGAATAACTTCCTCTGCGTTTATATCGATGAATTCAGTGTTTCTTGAGGAATAATTGTAGGACAGTCTGGCACTTTAGTAGAAATCATAACTTTGGTGTACCAAAGATACATCCATTCTTAAATGATCTTCAGTCTAGCACATGGTTTTGGCCAAGTCTTTGACTTCCACTTAAATCACTTAATCAGTAAACATTCACTGAACTTTTACCACACACAAGGAACTGTGCTAGATTCTTTGGTGATTAAGCTGTCTCATGAAAAAGTCATTATCACCACTCACACCTTATAACTCTGCTTAGTTGTCATCTTCTCTGTGAGGCCCATCCTGACCACTTTTTTAAAACTGCAAATCTCATTCCCTTATCTTGTGTTTTCCCCCCATGTATCTATCACCCTCTAGCAGACTATATAATTTACTTATCCGTTTATGATATGTCTCCCCCCGCTAGAATATAAGCTTCACAAGGGCAGGTGTCTTTATTTTGTCCACTGATGTATCCCCAGCACTGAGAACACTGCCTGGCACATAATCAAAACCAATTGTTGTTGAGTTGATTCTGATTCATGGTAACCCTGCTGCATTCCATAGGATTTTCAGTGGCTGATTTTTCAGAAGTAGATTGGCAGGCCTTTCTTCGGAAGCACGTGGGTAGACTCGAACTGCTAACCTTTTGGTTAGGAGCTGAGTGTGTTAACTATTTGCACCACCCAGGGACTCTGCCTGGCACACAGAGGCACTAAATACGTATTTGTTGACAGATGAACATGAGGAGACAGATACATGCATAAATAATTACAATTATTTGGTAGAATTTGTTAAAGGCAAAGAAAGTTATAAAGTATTATGAGAATTTACGGGAGACTGCTTCTGAACAGAACCCTCTCGTCTCTCCCTATCTTTGCCTTAGTTTCTCTGTGAACCCAATATAGAAAAATTTTGTTATTGTGTTGCAGATTCTTGTATGAAAGATCCGTATTCCAGCATTATTGTCTCATTATATCTAGTTGGAAGATAACTGAAAAATTATAGGCATGCAGGTCTTTTTCCAGAAGTTCAGTTATATTCTGAGACCATCATATTAATAATAATAATAATAAAAAAACCCAACCCAGTTGCCAGTGAGTAGATTCCAACTCATGGTGACCTCATGTGTTATAGAGTAGAACTGCTCCTTAGGGTTTCTTGGCTGTAATCTTTACAGAGGCAGATTGCCAAGCCTTTCTTCTGTTGTATTTTTGGGTAGGTTTGAAGCACCAACCTTGAGGTTAGTGGTCAAGTGCAAACCATTTGCTCCACCCAGGGATCTCATAACCTAGCTGCCATCGAGTCCATTCTGACTCATGGTGACCCCATCTGTTTCAGAGTAGAACTGTGCTCCACAAGATTTTCAAGGCTTAGACCTTTTGGAAGTAGATTGCCAGAACTTTTCTTTCAAGGTGCCCCCCTGGGTGGGTTCGAACTACCAACCTTTTGGTTCAGTAGCCCAGCACTTAACTGTTTGTGCCACCCAAGGACTCCTTTTATCAATAATAATAATTAAAACTATAGTATAGCCAGCACTTACTGAGCACTTACTATGTGCTAGGCACCAATCTAAGTGTTTTTAAAAGAATTCATTTAATTTAAATGCAGAGTAGCTGATGGCTCTTAAATGAGGGTTATTGAAGGAAGATTAATGCCTTCCAGTTACATTCATACATTTGCTTATATTATTGGAGAATTTAGTAGGGATACAGTAAGAATCCAGGGATACAGTAGGATACTGTGGCGGCCGTGAAAGGGGATGTCTCAGATGTCTAAAGGGAGTGTAACTGACCCATGGCTCTGATAATCAATACCGTGTTGATGTGAAGTTCCAATTCCCATGGGCTGCTCCCAGCCAACAAGGACTGAGTGTGGCAGAGTTATGAAGACAGGCCTGTTCCTAGAGACACAGGAATCCTCTGATGGATGACTGGCTCGAGGATTGCCCATTGACTTTGCTGAAAATTTTTAGCACTGCACTACCATCAGATATCACTACTAGCCTTCCTTCCCTCTCTCCTCGGAGGGTTCAGACCTGCAATGCGGTCTCATGGCTCTCCCAGCCTCCTTCAGCTCCTGCCCCATTTTCCCTCACAAGTGTTTTCCCTAATAAATCTCTTGCATCTCTAATGTCATCTTGGCTTATGCTTCTGGAGAACCTGAATTAACACAGTAGCCAATTATGTTCTATCTGATTTAACGATGATGATGATAAATTGAACACCTTTCACATGCCAGGTGATTTACCTGTGTCATCTCATTTAATCTTTACAGTAACTCTTTGGGTATTACTCTCATAATGAGAAAACCGACTCAGTGGGTAATTAACAATATGACTGATAAAACACTGCTGTAGTAAATGGCAATGAAAACTCTTAACCATTCTGCTGTAGTCTTAACATATATGTAAAAGCAGCATAGGGTAGATGCCTGACCCCCTCTAACTTCTCAAGGGGAAAGGAGAATCAAGATCAACAGCCCGAGGCTGATTCCTGTGAGGCAGCGGTCAGACATGCCTCGTCTCTCCGCCATCTTTATCAACTCTGACCCCAACCCTGTCTCCCATGACACTCTCTACTTCTTTTCTGGGTTTGATAATTCATTGCAATGGCCACACATAAGTCACAGACCATACTCACAATTATGGGGTTTATTAGGGAAGTAACAGGCTACAATTCAGGCTCAGGAACACTCAGGATACAGTTCTTCCATCAGGACAGCCTCTTTCCAGCTGTGGTCACAGGCACATCTCTCCCTGGCTGTAGGCCTCTGCCCAAAGGCACTCAGCTTTCTCTCTCTGTGAGCCAGGAAGCCCACCGCACTGTCTCCTGCTGCTGAGTCTCTCCTGCCACTTCTCAGGCTCTCTCTTTTTCTGTCTCCTGGTTCCAGAAGCTTCTCAGCAGAGGGATCCCAGGTCCAAATGACAGGCTGGCTCTTCTTCCTTGGTGGTGGTGGGATCCTCTCTTTCTCGCCTCTGGGGTGGCTCATTTCAATCTTGTGGTGTCTTTATATGGTTTTGGTGTTAGGGTAATGTTTGCTTCGTAGAATGAATTAGGGAGTATTCCTTCTCTATCTTTTATAAGATTTTAAACAGAGTTGGTGTCAATTCTTCTCTAAATGTTTGGTAGAATTCCCCAGTGAAGCTATCTGTTCCAGGACTTTTTTTTGTTGGATAGTTTTTGATCACTGATTTGATCTCTTCACTTGTTATGGGTCTGTTGTTGAGACTTTCTATTTTCTTTTGAGTCAGTTTAGGTAGATTGTGTCCTTCTAAGAATTTGTCCATTTCATCTAGGTTATCCAGTTTGTTGCCATACAGTTATTAATAATATTCTGTTATAATTCTGTTTATTTCTGTTGAGTCAGTTGTAATGTCCCCACTTCCATTTTTATTTTGGGTATTTGCGTCTTTTCTCTTTTTTCCTTTGTCAGTCGAGCTAAAGGTTTGTCAATTTTATTGATCTTTTAAAAGAACCAACTTATGGTTTTATTGATTCTATTGTTTTTATGTTTTCAATTTTATTTATTTCTACTCTGATCTTTGTTATTTCCTTTCTTCTTGTAGGTTTAGGCTTAGTTGACTCTTCTCTTTCTAGTTCCTGGAGTTGTCGTGTTAGGCTGTTGATTTGAGATCTTCTTTTTTCATGTAGGCATTTCTTGGTATAAGGTTCCCTCTGAGTACTGCCTTTGCTGCATCCTATTTTGATATGTTATGCTTTTCATTTAACTCCAGGAAATTTATGATTTCCTCTTTGACCCACTGGTAATAGTGTGTTGTTTAATTTCCGTATGTTTGTGTATTTTCTAGTTTTTTTTTTTTTCCTGTTACTGTTTTCTAGCTTCACTCTGTTGTGGTCAGAGAAAATACTTTGTATGATTTTAATATTTTAAAAGTTATCAAGACTTGCTTTGTGACCTAACACATAATCTATATCCTGGAGAATGATCCATGTGCACTGGAGTTGAATGTATATCGTGTGAAGATTATTGTCATTTTTAATGGTTTTACATAACTTGATATTCAAAATGAACCATAATTATACTTCTGCAATCACAAATGCACAGATACATGCACATTTATAAACAGACATGCACACACTCCCTCACCTGAGAGCACTGGGATGTGACGATGAGCCTTTAGTGGACTTTCCAGGTCTTGGCTTTGAGGTGGCAGTGTGTATAGAGGGTAAACCCAAGACTTAGGTTTGAATTCGGACTCTATGCTTAGTAGCTAAATGACAGTGGGCAAATTAATTCAATCTCTCTAAGATTGTTTCCTCATTTGAAAAATGAGAGTAAAATGATTCATCTCATAGTGTTTTATAACAATAAGCGTGCATACCATAATGCATGTATATCACTCAGTACAGCTGCTGTAGCATTCAACAACACTCAGGAAATTGCAGTTGTTATCATCTGTTAATTCTTTTGCTCTTCTCTCTGCCCAGCCAACAAGTCAGAAAAACAAAGAAAGAAAGAAACCCAAACCCATTGCCGTAGAGTTGATTCCCAGACACAGCGACCCTACAGGACAGAGCAGAACTTCCCCATAGGGTTTCCAAGGTGCCACTGGTGGATTCAAATTGCTGATCTTTGGGTTAGCAGCTGAACTGTTAACCAACT